CCCAAACCCCTAAAATTTCACAACTTTGTATCATTTTATTTTTACATTTTTTAAAAAAAAATTTAGCTCATGTTTGACTTCCTTTACTTTAATTTAATTTATTTTTTATACTTATTTTTTATCAAACATTTACATAATAAGATACTAAATACTTAAATTCAAAAAATTTTCCTACTTTTTAACAACACATCTCAAAAAATACTATTTAAAACAATGTTTTTTTAAATTTTAAGGATGCCAAACGGGGTTTAGTCACTCTTTCCTTTTTTAATTTTTCTTTCCTTTTCCTTCTCCTCCTTTTTTCCTTTTTTTTTTTTTTTTCAAAATTTTGGATGAGTTGGATCTCTATATATATCGTAAAAATCGTCTCTGTTCGAGTTATTTAAGCTAGTTCCGTTCAAGATTATTTGTTCTTGAAACTTTGGTTTTGTATTCTTTTGGTCCTATCGAAACCCTAGCTTCTGTAATTCGGGTAGTTTTTGGGTTCTTGATAGTTGATTTGAAAGAATTTAGGGTTTATTTTTTTATTATTTGGTGGTTACATGTATGGCTTCGGGGACTGTAGGGGATTTGATTGATGGTTTGAGATCGAGGGAAAGGGTTCGATGGACCGAGAATAGCAAAGTTTATACCCGACGATTCCGCAAGAAAACCCAGAAACTCAACGACACTGCCGCCATTGCCATCACCTCCGCCGCTGACGAAGGTCCCGTAGTTGTCACCACCACCGCGGTGACCGAGGCTCTCAACTCCAGAACCACTGAGAACCAGAATGATTCTGCTGCCGCCTTCTCTTTGGCCAGCAATGCTGATTGTTCCACCGTAACAACAACCAATCATGAGAATATCAATAACAATGTTCGGAAAGATTATTTAGAAATCGCCGGGGGCGAAGATGTGAGTTTTTCTCCGCAGAGGCTGCAAGAGCAACGGCTACATAGAGAACGAACTCCTTCACCAACCTCAGAGAGTGAAGGTGTTAATTCTTCTCAGCGTCAGCTGGAAAAACAACCACATCATGTTAAACAATCTCCTTTGCAACCGGAGCATAATGCTTCGATTCAGAAGCAAGTGCAAAAAGGCCGTGAAAGTCAGGCTGCTGACCAGCAGCCACTGGAGATTACCAGGGTTCATGATAGAGTTAGATTTAAATTATCAAAATTAACACCGAAGAATGAGGTTAGGGAGCTTAGACAGCAGTTACAGAGTGAGCTTGTTCAGGTAAGGAAGTTAGTTAAACAGCTTGAAGCCAAGCAACTTCAGCGTGCTGACTATGACACTAATAATAACACTGGTGACATTAATGGCACTTATATGGCTTCTGCTGAGGGTAATTTAGGTCAGTATGCTCAATCTCTGCCGAAGTATGTGGAGAATGATGCAGTAGAGAGGAGGGCGTTGATCAGAGTCCATTCAGACGTGGACCCCGTGGGGAATCCTGAAAGCAGGCTGATCGGGTTAGCCAGGGTAAATTCTGATGTAGGTGCAGTGCGACATCAAGAACAAAGGCTGTATAATAGGCAGCTCAGTGTTGCAGTAATGGAAAACCATCACAGGGCCATTGACTTTGTTGAGAAGGAGAAAAGGACCCCAAAGGCTAATCAATATTACAGAAATTCTGAGTTTCTCCTGGGGAAGGACAGACTTCCTCCTGAAAGTAAGAGGTTGAAGGCAAGTAATGGCAGAAAACATGGTAGGGAGACAGAACATGCATTTGGCTTCGGTTTTGGTTTTAGTTTTGGTTTTGACAAGAACAGGAATCAGGTGTTCAGGAGTTGTAGTAACTTACTTCAGAGGTTAATGAAGCACAAGCATGGTTGGGTGTTCAATGAACCCGTGGATGCCAGAGCATTGGGGTTGCATGATTACCATAATATTATTAAGCACCCTATGGATTTGGGTACAATTAAGAATAGGCTTTCACAGAACTGCTACAAGTCTCCTAGGGAATTTGCAGAGGATGTAAGACTTGTGTTTCTTAATGCCATGACATATAATCCGAAAGGGGATGGCGTTCACATTATGGCAGAGCAGCTGTCTCAGGTATTTGAAGAGAAGTGGACTGTGATAGAGACCGAATACAATCCCTATTGGAGATACGAAACATATCAGGATGCTGGATTGCCCACCCCCACTTTAAGAAAAGCTCCTCAGTCTCAGTTTGCCCCTGCTTCAGTTGCTTACCCTATACCTGGCCATGTCCCTTCCGTCCCTCAAATGAGGACGTTGGATATGTCAGTGTCAGTGTCTACACCCATGTCCGTTGATACCAAAATGCAGCATTCGCAAGTTGTTAGGACACCTGTTCCAAAGAAACCTAAAGCGAAGGATCCCAATAAAAGGGACATGACTTATGAGGAGAAGCAAAGACTCAGCACAAACCTTCAGACCTTACCTTCAGAAAAGCTTGATGCTATTCTTCACATCATTAAAAAGAGGAACACTACACTTTCTCAACAGGATGATGAGATTGAAGTGGACATTGACCATGTAGATCCGGAAACACTTTGGGAGCTTGATAGGTTTGTCTCTAATTACAGAAAGAATCTGAGCAAACACAAGAGAAAAGCTGAACTTGCTCTGCAATCTAGAGCAGAAGCTGCTGGGACTACTCCGATGATAGTAAGAGCTTTAGAATTATGATTTCTGCAATCGCACATTGTCTAGAATTTACAATTCCGAATCCTTGTAAACATAATTTCTCTTTCCGAAATATTTAATAATTTTAATTTGTATTTCATCAAATTGCAGAGGACAATCCCAGAAGCTCCAAAGCTTCGGAAGGAAAGTGGAACAGGTTGCACATTAATCTTAAGATGATTGTTTTTTAGATACGTCATTTATGCCTACTTTGGATGAAAACTGAAGTGCTACTGTCTGATGTATGCGTTTCTTTGACATTTTTGAAGGAGCTGAAAAGAATTCTTCTCTCCCTCCTGTCGCTCAAGGTGAAAAGCAGGGTTATAACGCAAGTAGGTCTAGTAGTTCTAGCAGTGACTCTGGATCATCTTCAAGTGGTAATTGACTATTATTTCTTCTCTATTCTTTTTGGGGCATAAGCACTACTTTTTCACATTGCAAGCACACACACAACAGTTCTATGCGCTACATAATCACTCCTGTCTTATGTCATCCAAATTACATTGATGCTATTCAATAAGTTTACTTATGTATTCTACATGCAGATTCCGACAGTGATAGTTCCTCTGCAGCTGGATCAGATGCAGGGTAGTCACCTAGGACATGAATGGATATTGTTAAGGTAAAGGACGAGATTTCTTTGCAAATGAATATTCTCTCTTTAGTTTGCTGGTTTTGTTGTTTACCATCTTCCTCCACGCTTAGATGGTTTTACATATCTCCTTTGCTAATTTGCTTGAAATATAGTAACAAGTAGTCAAGTAGCATTTCCATAACTCCAGGGAATTTAAATCGCCCCGCTTTTCTCACCCCATTCAGGGCTGGTTGTGGGCTTTTCAGATGAAATTGCCATCCCTATGTATCAGACACTTATCCTGTACGCGGCTGACACACACTCCTTTCCGGCGTGTCCATTAGGGCTGTCAATGGATCGGATTTTGATCC